TWAAAAGAACTTTTGTACAAACAAACAAAAAWMTCTGCWCTTTTTACTAATCTTAYATGAAATAAATTGTTCGAAATTCTACTTCAATTCAACTCCATTCACAGCGGGTTAACGTTAGTTAGCCTCGGGGTATTCAAAAACGAACCAATATAAAATAACAACAATCCTAGTGTAGATATTATTATACGATTATTTATCATATCTTCAAAAATATGAAGATCTCGCCAATAACTCACTTTTCTGATAACCCTTCCTTAAAGGGATACTGTCAATGGATGACATGCGTAGTAACAGTCTTGTCTCTAACGGACTTTGAAAGTATTACCTTCGAGGTAAATTAATGTTTTGACACACTTTGGAATATTCTAGATCTGTTTACGTTTACGAGTACTTTTTTTGTCATGCGTCGCGCCAACTTGGAGTCGTAAACTTGAAAACACTAGCCTAATGAATATATATGTGTGTCCTTCAGTAGTAGGAGAGAATAAATTGAAATGCGAATGCAGCCTACTACTGGAAAAGAAGCCAGAAAAAATCTGACTTTGAACGGGATTCGAACCCACTACTGAAGGACACACATATATATTCATCTATCCGACTTGAGCCAGGTCTTCGTCCGCTTTACATTAAGGGCTAACCCAGATACGACTGCTCYCATGTGGCTTTGATAGCTCAGTTGGTAGAGCATTGCACCGGTATCGCAAAGGTCGTGGGTTCGAATCCCGTTCAAAGTCAGATTTTTTCTGGCTTCTTTTCCAGTAGTAGGCTGCATTCGCATTTCACTAGCCTAATGTTTTCAAGTTTACTCGCGCATGTCATCCATTGGCAGTGTCCCTTTAATGTATGCAAACCCATTCTGAGTCAGAATAAATCATAAGTTGTGTTTTCAACGATGAAAGGTAGACTTCACTTTACTACCCTGACTTTTGCGAAAAGAAAATGTTCAAATTGCCCAGGTTATTAATTTAATAATATCAATATCAAATTAAGAACAACTAAAGTTTTTGTACGAGATTAGATAGTACCAATTGACAAACCAAAAAGTAAAATTAATTGTATACAATTACATGTAACAGAACGTCCATATTATAGTCCTAGTGTCTGCAATTCGGTTCAAGACAAACAACAATACACGAGTTTGGCTTGTCCTTTAGATGACATTTAACCCGTGAAACTCTATCTTCCTATCGTATTTAACCCAACATTATATTAAGTCTACTAGAGAGAGAGAGGGGGGGATTACCCCATGAAACAAAATAAAGTAAACCTTGATGCTCTTAAAGCGTTTACTCGCGTTCTAGGTAAATTAAACGTTCCTTGCGATGCGTTTCGTAGGTTTGTTGTCTTTACTCGAGATTCAATTGTTTAGCACTGTTTACTACAATAAAGGTTGAGTGCTTTTTCATGTCTGCTATTAACCTTCTCTGTTTAAACAATTATCGACGTTTTTCTGATTCCACCGTTGTTGCCAGAATAATGTTGTTTGGCGCGCTTTCGTTTTTAACCACTATTTCAATTTATATGAAAGAAACAAGTGTAGATGACGTTGCCTCGGTAACCACACTTTCGGGTATGGCTTCACCAAATAAATGGCTACCCCAAATAAGCACTAGTCCATTTCGGTTCGTCTGKGTACGACAGTTATTGACATTGTCTAATAGTTCAATATATATAAAAGCAGATTTGATTCAAACTTTGTATTTTGTCAGGACGCCATTAAATGTATCCACGTCTACGAATTCGTTCTTTGTTCGAGATGARGCCAGTTTGGTATAAAGATCTTTGATTGCTGAAAACAAYGGAGGAMAGTGYTATACTCACTMACTTAATAAAAATCAATTTTAAAACGTCCACTTAGTCATTCAAAATAACCATCACATTCAATCAATGACGTCTAGTCAA